CCATGTGATTGGCTGATTAGAAATTAAGTGTTAACGAGCAGTTGGACAGGTGTACCTGATAAAGTGGCCGGTGAGAGTATATTCCCAATGCAGTAGAAAAGATTGTTGCAAACCGCGAGAAAAGTCTGATCCTTTTATTATTTTAATATCTGTGTAAATGTCCTCAACAAATTTAAAACCCAGCATTACAGATTGAGATGTGTTGAGAAATGATGTTTTTTTTGGTCATCCCTTAAAAAAATGATATGAACACTCAYGTGAGTAGCGTTGGAGTAAGTGTTGAGGATGACTCTCAGCTGCTACCACACCAAGGTTCATCTGAATAACTGTAAAACGGACCGAGTTAGAGGCAGTTTTGTGTTCGCTGATTTTAATCAGCTGCGCTCATTTTCAGTCGGCTCAACTCTAAAAGTTAATCAGTTTGTAAACTTACATCAAATTATTCGTTTTTGAAAAATTCAACAAAATCCAGTCAATGTCTCATGAGTTATTTTGCTAACAGACATTCAGTGTYGAGTCTTTAGCCCTCATAATAAATAAGTTTCAGGTCAGTATCTCTTGAACTGACTGGGTTGGCTAAGGCAGCCATCTTAAATCCAAAAGTTTTAGATGTACATCAAATAATTTTTGCCCAAACTTAGCAAATAATGACTTTTAAGAACATCCTGGTTATTTTATGTAATGACACAACTGTCAATCAGAGCAGACTTTAGGAAAACGAGTCTTAAAGAGAAAGGAACCGTAAAAAAAAAGGTAGTTATTTTTTATGTTGAATTCTTATAAAGTTAGATCATGTAAATTTACAGACAACAAATAAAAAAGTAAAAAACAAGCATATTATTGTTTTTTAAAATCTGTAGTGTGACACCTCATGTGCTGCAAACAGCTCTATAAAATGTTATTACTATTTGAATTCTAATTAGCCTTTTTCATTTTGATCAGCACAGTAAAATTATTTACAGTAAAATGAATAATGGAGAAAAAAATTATAATGTTACAGAATTTTATATTACAAACTGCAGGATATTACAGTTTAATATAATCACTTAGTTTCTCATTAGTTTCTTTTTCTGTTGTTGGTTTTTAATTTTGTTTACATATTTAACTTCTTTTATTTTAAGTTTCTTCAAACCTTAATTTAAGGTCCATTTAAAGCCAAGTAAAGTCATGCAACATGGTTTAACTTTAAAGCACAGRCCAGATAAACAGAACAGCAAATCAATTTTTAATTTTTGTGTTGTAGTTGTTGTAGTTACTCATTTAGCAGCATTTATTGACTTTAGATTTGAAACTGGAGGAATAAAACACAGAATAAACACTTAGCTGTGTTTCTGACAGTTCTGTTGGTTTGCGTCTTACCTGTGTGTGTGTGTGTGTGTGTGTGTGTGTGTGTGTGTGTGTGTGTGTGTGTGTGTGTGTGTGTGTGTGTGTGTGTGTGTGTGTGTGTGTGTGTGTGTGTGTGCGCTCCCAGGTCTCTGTTGCAGCAGCTGCAGTCTCTGCAGGCGATGGTGGCAGGAAAAGTCCACAGGTCCTGCAGGGCTGCTGGCACCCAGACCTCCTCGTGTTTAATGGTAACGTGTCGGTTCCACTCTGAGCTGACGAAGCTTCGATCGCTGAGCTGGAAACATATTTATTTATCCTTCTTCCTGCCGCTTCCCTTTCAGGTGGTCGTGTTGTGTTTCGCTCTCTTTTTGGGCAGTTTTTATCCGGGCGGCTTGACTTCGTGTTCGAGCATCGCTAAAACGAGCGTCGYGTCCAAACAGAGCGACGCCAAAGAGTCGTACACAGACTCCTACACAGCTACAGGTAATCACTCACACACAACACGCAGAACTTACTTTTTCATTTCGTCTTTCTGACAAGACAAAGTTGTGAGGCTCGCAGCAGCTAACGAGCTTGATGTTGTTCTTCAGCTGCATACAAGAACTGAAACATGAAAAACGAGATAAGTTGTGGGGGATGTGCCGTTAAACAGATTCCCACTGAGAGTTCAGATGGAGCCAATTTACAGACGTGGATGAATCTGCTGCTAACTTTCACACAAAAACACACAACTGCTCTGAGCTTAACTCATCAGGCCCACAAACATCTCACACAGACTTTGGACCTCGTCAGGGTGGATTTTGGATTCTTGTCTGTTTTTTTTTTGTGTGTGTGTGTTTTTCAACCCGTTGTGGAGTCCCACATTCATAATGGGGTGGGTGGTGCTATCAGAAAGTGACTCACCTCGACCTTAAAGTTCAGTTTGAATGATTCTGGAGGATTTTTTTTTTTTTTTTGGTGATCCATACCATCTATCGGATCAACCTGGGGTCGCATTTCGTCTTGCATCCATGTCCAGTGTCTGGTACCAGCTTAGCCGCATTTTCCATGAAACACAAATCTGAAAAGTTTGTTTTTCCCAATGATAGTAATTAAAATAACAACTGCACAGAAAAACAGAGGATTTATATCTCCCCAGGCGAAAAATTATATATTGCCACAAGAAAAACCTTAAAATTTATTCGGTTATTTGCGATTTCAACAAAATARCATCCAGTTAGAGAGGCTTCAAGTAAAAAAAATCCACGACTGACTCAGACGTCTTTAAACTCTGGTTCACTACATGCTTTATTCTTAAAGGAGACCAATTATGGGTTCTAGAAATTTTTATGGTATGTCTGTGGGCTATCCAGACCATGTTCATTCAATTTAATGCACTAAATAATTCTCAGATAATGAAATTTCTCATTTTCTAGTTCTGCCTGCTCTGACTTCTGTTCAGAAGAGC